ACCCCGTGATATAAATATTTCGTCAAAATTATTATTATTATTATAATTCTTTTTTTTTTTTTTTTTTTTGTTAAAGTAATTGAAGGTTGAAATTTTTATAAAATTATTTTCTCATAAACTACTGGAGATAAATCGGATAAACTGGAGCGCGATATTCGCGGCGGCCAACGCGCTAAGGACCATAAATCTTTCGCAGAACCTTTCTCCCGAAAATTCGTAACGTCGACTCATCAGTTGTTGTCACCGTCCATGCCTCTGCACCATACAGCAGGAGGGGAATTATGACTTACTAATAGAGTTTGGTTTTTGTTCGTCGAGAGAGGACTTTACTACTCAATTGTCTACTTAGTTCGAAGTAGCACCTGTTGGCAAGAGTTATTCTGATTTGGTTTTCGAGACTGACATTATTGTTGGTGTTAACGTTGGTTACAAGATAGATGAAAATATCTACGACTTCGAAGTTATGACTGTCAGCAGTGAAGTGGGAGCCAAGTCGCGAGTGCGACGACTGTTTGTTTGATAATAGGAGATATTTCGTCTCCTTATGTGCCCTTCATAATAATTATAGCCTATCTTTTTGATTTTATAGCACATTTATATCATTTGATTAAAATAAATACCTCCGACATGAAATTAAATTGTATGTTGGATAATATGTTGGATAACAATTGCATTTGCAATTGTTTGACGATTTCGCCGCATAATGATTGTTGAATGCCTGCGCAACATTTGTACTAAGAAAATTGTCCAATCCCAAAAATCATTTTCTCGGCTGTGCTCTTTGCAAATTTCGGGAGTATAAAATGTTTGGTTACGCCCAAACTTAGTCCTTCCTTATTTATCATATTAAATTTTCATATACGAGTGGGAAGGGCCGTCTGTACGTGTAGAGTCCATACAGCTACGTGCTAAAAGACCTGCCTCCCCCCCATTCACAGATCGTCGACGATATTATTGCGAAGCTTATGCAAATATAATAAGGACCACACATTTTGTACGTATGTGCATATTCCCATTTATACATGAACATATGCATAGCGTTGCAACTAGTGGGCCAGCGCCAACTGTTTACTCTCAGCCCCACGCAGAGCTCTCGTGCAACTGCAGAGCAACATACTTGGAGATGCATATGTGTATTTACTTTCACCTTTCGATTACCAGCGCAAGGACATAAACTCCTGTTTATTTTCACAAGCCAGCTTATTTTGTCATCATTCTCATGTAGGGAAGTCATTTATTACATTTACCATACCACCAAAGAATTTCTATATTCATGCATATCCTTTCCCACTTTCCATTATTCTTCCTATTACTTTTCACATTCATGCCGGTGTATAGCACAAGTGCATGATAAAGGATCAAAATTCGATAATGTCGGTATAAGGTGAAGCTCTATGCGACAACTAGTGCCGGCCACTTTCACTGATTGTTGTTGTTTTTCTTTTCTACTCCMCCTTGCTTAATTTTTTTTTTTTTATACCCTGAACAGGGTATATTAATTTTGTCACGAAGTTTGTAACACCCAGAAGAAAGCGCCGGAGATCCTATAAAGTATATATATAAATGATCAGTATGTTGAGCTGATTCGATTTAGCCATGTCCGTCTGTCCGTCTGTCTGTATATATACGAACTAGACCCTCAGCTTTTAGGATATCGTTTTGAAATTTTGCAAACACCATTTTCTCTTCAAGAAGCTACTCATTTGTCAGAACTGCCGATATCGGACCACTATAAAATATAGCTGCCATATAAACTGAATGATCGGAATCAAGTTCTTGTATGGAAAACTTTCACATTTGACAAGACATATTCACGAAATTTGATACAGATAATTTTCTAAGGCAACAATGTAATCTCCGAAGAAATTGTTCCAATCGGTTAACTATAGCATATAGCTTCCATACAAACTGAACATATCGTTACTAACATAAATGCACCTGTGAAAGGTATTTAGCTTCGGTGCACCCGTTAACGTTTTTTCTTGTTTTTTTTTTTTTTTTTGCCTTTACGAAACATCAACAAGGTTTTACAAGCTTTTTCTTTTACTCCGGCAATGAATTGCAAATATCCTTATTAACTGGCTGCCCGTCTGTGGCGAGGGCAAGTGCTTTGTCATTCAAATGAGCGCACATAATTGCATATGTGTACCACACACGTACACACACCCTGCCATAATAATATAACGGTATTGTTTACCTTGGTCTTTATTGGTTAATTTATTTCCGTTTAAAACGCATTTATCAACTTGTTTAAAAAAAACTTTGTGTTCGTGTTTAAATTTTGCCCTCTTCGGAGCCCCTCGGGTCAACTTTTTAAGTGAAACTCATTTCAAGGACTTTAAGGATGCAAAATAATATTGGCACTAATGAGGCTATCGTGTAAGGCTTATTTGCGGTGGCAGTGTGTTAATGAACGGATTGCTCATGGCGAGGTTGGCTTGAATAGAAAATTCTGCTCTGCTTCTGCTTATTAATCTTGTGAACCAAACATTTCGGCAGAACATGCGGTATGCCTGAGTAGATTTCGACAGGGTTCATTGCCCAAATTAGTGCTAAATAGGGTATAATAGTTTTGTTCACCTAGCGGTTGTGTGTAACACTAAGAGAGATAGATATAGACTTATTTGCAAATGGTCAGGATGATGAGACGAGTTGAAATCCGAGTGAATGCCTGTCTGGCCGTCCATTCTTGCAAGCTGTAAATTGAGTAAAAAAAAATTGAGAGAAAGTTGCTAAAGAGAGTATTATAGTTTTGTTCACATAACGGTTGTTTGTAAGTCCTAAAACTAAAAGAGTCAGATATAGTGTTATATATACCAAAGTGATCAGGGTGACGAGTAGAGTTGAAATCCGGATGTCTGTCCGTCCGTCTGTCCGTCTGTTCGTCTGTTCGTGCAAGCTGTAACTTGAGTAAAAATGGAGATATCATGATGAAACTTGGTTCACGTAATTCCTGGCTCCATAAGAAGGTTAAGCTCGAAGATGGGCAAAATCGGCACACTGCCACGCCCACAAAATGGCGGAAACCGAAAACCTATAAAGTGTCATAACTTTTTTTTTTTTTTTTTTTGTTTTTTTTTTGTTTGAGAAGCCAAATTAATTATCCCTAATTAAATTAGGTCTACTCTGCATGAATGTTCAAACATGTTTCGCAGGAATCAAGTGCTAACAATCGCACGGAGCGTGGATGTTGGAGGTTAAAAATTGATTGTGCGCATTGTACATTTTTTAAAAAATGTAGTTCCAAATTGGAAAGAATTATTTTTGTATAAAAATCTACTTTTTGTTTATGAAAAGTATGTCGAAAAATTTCAATTTATTTCTCATTGAAAATCTAAGAAAATATAGTTAGGGGTTTCATATAGTCTCATAAAGTTATAATATATAACGAACCGAAAACATATCGTTGAGAGTTGTAATTGTTTCAACTAAAATTTGTATATGTAATCCAACAACAATTCTTTTAAATAAGGGTACAATTTTATGATATTAAGTAGTCAAAAAAGTCCTTTCGTATTTCAAATCAAATTTGAACTTATACTTTTTAATATTTATAATCCACTTTAATAAATCAAATATGTACCATTTTGGTCGACCACTTTTTTCCATGCTTCCGCTAGAGACATTATTCCATCAGTGTAAAACTGGTCTGGTTTCTCGGCGAAAAACTGCGACAAGTAATTTTCACATATTTCTCTTGAAGCTAGCTTTACTCCATTATGGGAGTTCTGCATTGACCGAAACAAATGGTGGTCCGATGTTGAAAGGTCAAGGCTATATAAAGAATGCACCAAAACTTCCCATTCAAACTCTTCCATTTTTGCCGAGTCATCAAAAATGTGTGTGGTTTAGTGTTCCCATGATGGAAAACGAAGTTGATCAGTTCTGGCCACTTTTTTATTGCTTGCTTCAATCTCATCAGTTGTTGGCAGTAAAATGTAGAATCAATTGTTCGAACGGGGTGGAGCTGCTCATAGTGGATGATTCCTTTCCAAACCCACCAAACACTCAGCAAACCCTTTCGAGGCGTCAATACTGCCTTTGCAACCATATTTTGAGCTTCACCACGCTACCACCATGATTTTTTCGCACATTACTGTCGTATTTTATACACTTTTCGTCTCTTGTTACCACTCGTTTCAGAAATGGTTCGATTTCATTTCGCTTCAGCAAAGAATCGCAGATGTTAATTCCGTCCATTACCCAAATATCGATCTTCTTTTAGTAGTTAGCCTTTTTTAAATGGTTCAAAACCATTTAGTGATGGATTTTAAGTTCCTTAGCAATGTCATGACTGCTTATGTGATGGTCCTGGTCAATCTTTTCCATAATTTCATCTACCAAAGTGAGGTGCATTAGTCACATCGGAATTTTCAGAAGGGACGCGGGCGATGCGCTGAGCTGAGTCAATTTAGTGATATCTGTCCGTTTGTATATATGCGAAATAGTTTTTGAAATTTTCTGAAATGTCCCCCATGTCTTTTTCTATATGATCATTTGTCGGAACCGCCGATATCGCAAGCTGTATCTGCCATACAAACTGAACAATCGGAATCAAGTTTTGACGAGGTATCTTCACGACTATCACTTTAGGTCATATCTGCCATAAAAACTCACATAATAAAATCGAGTTCTACTGTGAAAACTTGTTTATTTGTGAAGAGTGTTATAGCATCGGTGCAGCTGATGTTAAGGTGTTAATAAGTGCGAAGGCGACGTATAAATGATATCTAGTTCTTATTTTTTGCCATTAGTTACAAACGAAACACGAAATTTGTTTAAAATGTCAAGAGAAATACCGTTAAGAACTATTCTGACAAATATTGTACTCTATTACATGGGCACGAAAAAGAGGTTTGTTCTTAAAAAAGAAAAAACACTTTCAATTTAATTAGTAAAGTTAAGTATAGTACTATATACATACATATTAATTAACTAAATGAGATCCCCTCTCTCGAACTTAAAAAGAATAATAAAATGTCCACTCTTTGGTTTCGCAGGTTATTGGATTTTCGGCGCGCAATTTTGTGATACTTGGGTCGCTTTCGATGTGATGTGCTCAACGGCGTCAATTTTGAATTTATGCGCCATCTCAATGGACCGTTATATACACATAAAGGATCCACTCAGGTAAGTGGCCAGCGGTGGCATCTGTGTGAGAGGGTGTGTGTGTGTAGATTTGCAGGGGTGCAGGATGTATACAATTTATACATGACCGATGTATGCCATCAAAAAGACCTTTAACAGCTTAAGTAAGTCCAACAACAAAAACAACAACACAGTGACGAAGGTGTTAAAAATTACAAAAATGGATTTCCAGTAGAAAGTGCCGCCAACTAAGTTAGCTAGCTCATCAGGACACCACTGCTAGTGTATGGCTGAATGTGCAACTGTTATCTTTTATATGTATGTATGGGTGTATGTGTGTGTCAGTATAACACAGAGCGGCAATAACAGGAGCAATGTATTATTGGATCAAGTGGAAATGTGGTACAGAGAACCTTCGAAGGCAGGCGCTGTGACACAAATAAAAGCAAACATATACAGTAGTCCGGAAGCACACATACACGTATAGCATTTTAATACAGCGGAAAATTGATTGAGTAATTGACAGTAGAGCCCACACCATTAAACGTCCAGCACACTTTCTAGGTGGTATGGGTACAATAACAACAATAACAGCAGCATGCAGCATGATGACGCGAATGGTGACACTGAGCTGATGCTGAAAATAGTGGTGATGGCGAAGGTGCAGGGCAGAGCACCAGCGGGCACTCATGTATAACAATCCTATCCTATTTTTGGCTTTCGGTTATTGATTTTTCAAATGTGCCGGTGTGTAGGGCGGGGTGCGGACAGGTTGTTGCAGCAAAGCAATCTATTCAAACTATAAATAAACAACAATGTGCCTCAAAGACTCAAGTGCTGTATGCACGATTGTATAGTCTCCACTTCACATTGTCTCTACTAAAGCTGTGGCGCACCTTCGACACTCTGAGCGATTCTACTATGCACAAAATTACTAAAATGATATTTTTTGTAAAGCGTGTTTGGGCATATTGCCCGAAAATATTAAAAGTTCCGATTTAAGCCTCACTAGTTTGATGGATTTATGGCATCCATGTATATGGTATATCGTGACTTTTTTCAGTAGGGTCCTAAGTTTAAGTCCTGTGTGACTTAAGGCTAACTTAATACCACTTTTAGAACCAGTTTTACTGATAGTACGGCAACAGCTGGGAATAATAATTCATTAAGGATTATTGAATATCAGAAATATGCAATAAAAATACGTTCGATGAAAAGGAATATTTTTTGGTACCAAATTATACTATGCGAAAATAAACTAATCGGAAAATGTGAAAAGTGTCGATCTGGAGTAAAAATATTTACACATGCATATGGCATATGGAAGATAGGTGGACAATAGCAGTCCATTTTTGGAAAACAATCACATTCTTAAGTGAAAAAGTCTTACCAAATTTTCGAAAATAACACCTGGATTTGCAATGATATTCCCTATTTTCTGATATCAAACTACACTGCAAAAAACCTAAACAAACACAATTGAATATCTTTACTAAGCAATTTAACTTTTAATAAGGAGCAGACTTACTTCGCAACAACGTTTGCAATTCGTGTAAATTCATTACCAAAATAATGGTTCGTTGTAATCGGTCTGCAGAGAAGCTAATTCATGCCATAATGAATAGTGAGCATCCGCAGAATGCCGTATGAAGTTGTAATTGCTGCTGTGGAACTGAGTTTCAATGAAGATCCAAAAGAATCCATCTGCATTGGAACTATATTCCTTCTTTTCATGGGAGGTGTTGCGAAAGGATCTTTATTTGTGGACTTATGAAGCTCAACTCGTAAAAGAATTGAAGCCAAACAACCAACACCGTCGCGCGTTTGGTAAATATACCCAATGAGGCGGTCACCGATACCGATTTTCACAAAAAACAGTTTGAATGAATTATATAATTGAATACTAAATGATTAAATATTGTACTGTCTGCATCTAGATAAGATAAAATAGTAAATTTTAAACCGTTAGTGTACACCAGCCAACTCATTAATTGCAACAAAACAAATAATGAAATAATCACTGCACTTGATCGATTAATTATACTGCGCTCACGTGCACAAATACCTAATCAGTTAAACATTAGGTGTTTGAGCACAACATTAATTCCACTCGATCATCTGATATGAGCCGCATATATAACAATTAAGTGTCTGCGATTTGCAGCCGCTGCACGCTAGCCAAAACAAACAATTTTCGGCTAAATTATGGCGATTGTATTGTGTTTAGTGTTCGTACAAATAATCTCTACACACGCACTTCCTCCGAGAATCAAGCAAACATGTTGGTAAAAGTGTTTAACTGTTCTGTAGTACCCACAGATTTTTTTGTGTTAAGCCCAAAATCGAAAACTAAGCGCTGCCATTGCTTTTGTCTCGAACAGCTAAGCAAGTGCTGAGCGATTGTATTTTGACCCATCGACAGATATACACACAACATGTATGACCTATATAACTAACTTGAACCATTCTCATAAGCCAACGTAAAATTAGATGTTGTTGCAATTATACTTTGTGTCTACAAAATTCACCTTGATACTTATCTTGGACCTCTGAGAGTTTGCAACACGTCTACCGATTTGGCCAGCCTTAACCTTATTAGATGTGGCGTTTTTCGCGCACTACATTGTACAATCACACTTGTAAACACATTTTGCTAAGTCAGACAATACATTGAGTACATGCTAACCCAGCATACGGTTAAGTTAGTTTAGTCTGATATTTTCGTGAAGGACACTTAGACCAGTTTTAGTCCGCAGCGACGACAGATGGACTGCTGTGACCTAGATCATGAAAATTGTTCATATTTCGAGATGAAAGCGCTTAACGCGAATTTCAATTTCTGCTGCCTCACTATCGATTTCTCACTATAGGGCACTGATGTCGTGAGGCCACCAATTGTTTGAAGCGTAGCATTGCTAACGCGCCACAAGTGCACAAGGAATGCTTCATTGTTTCATTTGCCTTGCTCTTGACATTTTGTGCAGTCATTTAAATCCGTGAGCACATTCTTAATTCTGCAGACAGGAGTGAACAGGAACTTTATATATTATTGATCTACCGTTTTGCACATGATATATGCTGTTTTGTATCCCAGTAGATCATGCAGAATGTTTTAATCTTCCTTGGCATTCCATTGTCAATAATGTCGTAACCATAATACATGGGTTTAGGAATCTCGGCCACATTATTGGATGACATCCGCTCCACTCCATTGATAACTTTGCTACCTGACACCTGAAGTCATTTATTCCCGGCGACACTCTACACTGCTGCCCTGCTTCCCAACATAAATTAAAATTGTAACATTTTGATTAAGGCTCTAGAAGATTTCATCATTTTTCTGGGAGATTTTCAACAAAAATTTCCTGAATTTTTAAATAATAATACTATTTATTAAAGGTAATAAACAGTAAGACTTTTAATTAAAATTTCGCGCGAAAACCAATTGGCCGATTTTTTTTTTTTAAGTGGATATTGACATATGTGTTAAATCTCACAGTAAAACAATACTTAGTACGATTATCTTTCTGCAGTACATAAAGTGCATTCGGCGATTCTTCCGATTAGGCCTTCGTTGATAATTTTTTATCGCACGTAATATTTCTTAATTGGTACAAATCATTCAAAGAGGAGAGAAATTGTGTAGAGTTACACCTACTTTTCAGAAAAGGAAAATGTTTTTAGTGTTCCAACCTAAATCGTTTCGAAGTGCGACATTTAAATCTGGATACTCTGCTGAACGGACGATTGAGACCTCCTTTGAATTTAATATCTGTTAAATATACTAAAATTACTGATTCATGTATTCGATCCTGCGGCCCGCATTGTTGGGTGATTGTGGTTTTCGAACAATTTTCACAATCGCCATTAGCAGTCTGCACGTGCAACCATCAAAGTTAGGCAAAATAAGCTAAACCGCGCCCACATTTCCCTTAACAACAGTTAGCCGTCTAACTTATACATACACACGATGCTTATATTATATCTATGTTTTAACTGTGTACACATACAAACTCACCAACAAACGTTTATTGTTTCAATTTTCTTTCAATTTCCTTTCGCTTTTTTCTTTGGTGGCATTTTTTCGACTTACCGCACGCACAGTTAATTCCGACTTACAGCGGATTTGTTGCGTATAAATACGAGTTCATATGTATTTATGTGTGTGTGAAGAGGTAAATCTGCATGAGCTCGCTGATTCTCGCACACACTTCAAGTGTTGATGTTCGCGCGCAAGAATTGTTCTTTCCCCTTATGTTTGGTCTCTTAGACTCGCGCCAAACTTCGAAGAATATTGCAAATCTCAAGCAAAAATCAGACTGTGCCATACATATACCGAGGTACGTACATATGTATGTATGTCTATGTACTATATTTAATTTTACGCCGGTGTATGGGTAGCTCAGTTGATTTTGGTTCCAATTTAATTGTTTACTTGCTTGGTGTTTGTTTGCTTGGCTTCTTCGCAATTGTACGGGGAAATGATGTAGAGTCTGTGGAGCAATCAGCGGTCAGCCAAGCGAACCGCCCACTCGAGAAAGTGTGCACAAACTACGCGTAATTGTATATAGTATGAATATAGAACTCTTAGAGAATTCAATTATAAACGAAAAAGTTCCTGAAATAAAGTGACGCGTGTCTTAAGCTTTATTAAATGACATCGCTAAGGATTTAGTATAATTTGAGAACGCCAAGGAAACACAATAGTATATCCTGAAATCAACAAAAATTATAATTACTTTAATTTTTCCAAAACCCAGAAAATTCAACAGATAATGATTCAATTTAATTTTATTAATTTAATTAGTAACAAGGGTGCATATACCATTTAATAGAATAAGAACCTAACTAAAGAATCTTTATGCATTTGTTTGTTTAATTAAATTTTCCATATTAGTACTTGTTATAATCCCGGCTTAGGCGGTCCTCAATGCCTTCCCTGATTTGTCAGTTTCGAACACATACAAGAGTTACGGGAAGTCAAATCTGGCGAACCTGGTGGCCGAGCCATGACTCTCGTTTCGTGTTTGACCAAAAAGTTA